TGAGTGTTAGTTACAACTATCATCTCTGTTTTCCCAGAGTCTAGCACAGAAACTGGGACACAGCCCATCTCAATCAATACGGAATTGTATTGACTCCTGTGCTCCACTTTGCAGTGTAATCTAGTTAAGGTTCTTATCTGCATCAACACTGACTCGTTCCGTTACAATTAGGTTAACTGTTTTCTACACTTAACATGCATCTGCAGAATGCCAAGCTGCTGCACTGTCTCACTGCTTGGTGAACCACCAGTAAGTGCCTATGTGAGTACAATCCTATTATGGATGGCTTATTTAGTCCCGCACTGGCTCCTCTGAAACTCATAGGATATTGTTATATACATGTAATTTGATTAATTTGCCAATAGTCTTGTCAAGTGCCCAGCATCCCTTCAAAAACAAGTATGCTAAAATATTGTTACATTGATTTTGAGATAGTTGTTTACAGTGTCTAGAAATATATCCTCTCATATCGATAATTGCTCTGCAGAGGAATCACATTTCTGGATGAAATGAATGCATTAAAAAAAAACCCACAAAAATTGTAATCTATACCTGACAATTGAGGCAGGATGAGAAATATTGCCTAATTCTCTGACTTTTTGTTTTGGAGTTTAAGTTGCCATACACCTCCAGAAGGAAGGCACAGTGGATTGGCAAGGAAAGGGAGAAGGGAGTAGGCGGTAGATATGGGAGCAGCAAAGGCAGTAGTTCCTATCCACAACGACGCTGCTGAGGAAGCACTTACAGAGTCAGAAACCCTGAGGAAAAGAGGTAGGAGTGGGGAACATAAAAGGAAAATAAATTCCTTATGAATATTCAAACCTTCACTTACTCTGATGCAGTTTCTCAGCCTTGGCACTATTGACATTTGGGGCTGGATAATTCTTTGTAATGAGGGGGCTGTCTTGTGCATTATAGGATGTTGAGCAGCACCCCTGCCCTGTGTCCACTAGATGCCAGTCGCACGCCCTTTCCAGTTGTGACAACCGAAATGTCCCCAGGCATTGCTAAATGTCCCCTGAAGGGCAAAACAACCTGGTTTTAGAAACGTTGCTCTAATGGGAGAAAAATCAGTAAAATTATTGGATGGAACATCTTATAGATTGATTAGGTTAAATATGCACTCTTTTTAAGTCGCTTTTATTGATTCACATAGGCTTATCCTAAAACAAATTCCCTGTACTAATATTATAAGCCAGGACTGGGACTGTGATACATTTTCCCAGAGATGGGCCCCAGTGGTGCTCCTTACTCATGCTGGAATCTCGAAGGGGCTGAGGAAGGTTAACAGTGATGTGGAAGAAAAGAGACACTGGAAACTACTAGTTGGTCTTTCAATTAGCAAATCTTTTTTTGCATGCCTGTGATATGCAAGAAACTGTAGGGAATGCAGAAGTACAGGACACAGTCTCTTAAGGAGATTACAATCTAATGACAAATTATTTCCGGTGCAGTTCTCATCATTTGCCTGTTTTTTAATAAGCATTTATGTTTCAATAGCAGGGGGCATTGTAAATAATGCTATGCAGTCATAAAATAAGACCAGAGGACATAGAGCTCATTTTTCTACAGTACTTCACTTAAATCATTTTAGGAAGTTAACGATTGTATTATTAGTGGCCTAAAAACAAGATTCCTGGCTTCCTCAGACAGTACATTTCTCCAAAACGTCTTCATTATTAATGGGTGATAAAAATATTAAAATTGTTATGAAAACTTTATAAACTTACAAATAGAATAAAACATATGATGTGAAAATACTTCCCCCATACTGGATTAGTGAGATTCCTGTTCTTATTTTTAAATATAAGAGATGAATAAATAAAGGAAGAAGTAAAAACCTCAAACAAACAAAATGAAGGGCTTTAATGATATGATACATAATAAAAAAAAAACTGGCATAAAACCCACTGCACCAGCATTCCCAAGGATTTTTATTTCTTTAAAACTATAAAATGCTCAAAGATGTTACCTCCTCCTGACCGAACTACAAATAGGTATTCATCTTCCTGCTACACTTTGTCAATCCTGCACCTCCGAATCCAAAGTCATTCTCATGTGTATGGTTTTATTAATATTAAACAGTTGTTTGCAGAGTGTATTAGGGTTAAATACATATTTTTAGCAACAAGCAAAGGTCAAAATCATAGGACAAAAGCAGGAACTAATAAAGAAATAAAGCTCCTGTCATAAATATCAGGATAGTTTGTTTTGATTTTAGGAGTGAGCTTAAATAATCAACTCTCTTCTCCTTTTTCAAACCCACCTTAATTACTAAAGTTTTAATTTATAGGATTATTTTGTTATTTGCTGAAAAGTAAATGTACTCTAAAATTTTAGAAGCCACCACTTTTTAAATAGTGATTTATGTGTCATACACTACACGCAGTACATCACTCTCTTGAAAGGGAGGAAAAGCAGAACAGTAGCATTTCAATTCTTATTAATGGATCTAAATACTTACTAGGAGCGAGTTCAGACAAGTCACTTAATTCCTTCAGGTCTTATCTACAAAATAGGCACAAATACCTGCCCTTTCTTACCGTACATAATTTTCCTGAGGATCACATATGAAAATGTAGTTGTCAAGAGAAAAGCATTCCTACAAATGCCGTAGAACTGCCATCATAATATTCAAGTTATAGTCAAATTCTTTCAGTTGAATCATTCAGCTTCCGTACTGTTGTTCATGCCTTATAGAAAGCTGGAGGTACTGCATCCCTGCCGTTGACAATGTGAATACATTCGGATGTTGGTTCAAAAAAAAAAAAGAGAGAACTATACTGGAAACAATCCCTCTTTACAATGCAGGTAAAAATTAAAAATACTAAAATAAAAATTTAAAAATCTTCAAAGAGGAAGCAGTTACCTCAATGCAATAGGAGCATGACTTCCACTTGATCCACCAAAATGAAGGAAAATAAAGTTAATCCTAATCAGAATTTCTTGGTCTTGAAATTCATCATTTGCTTCCCTCACTTTGATTTCTTTACACTTCCTCCGCCTTAAACCTTCAGTGCCTTGGGCTTCTGGACCTCCTCTCCAGGACTCCCTCTTGGATTCTCCCCCCCCACCCCCAGGCAAGAGAGAAAGCTTCTCATTTTGAGAAACTTAACTGAAAGTTAGCTTAAGTAGATGTCAGAAAGTGTTAAATTATCCAGCTTTTAACCTTGAAGCCACTTGCTTCCACTGTGTAATAAAAAGTTTTGGCACCCTTTAAAAACGAATGTCATACACAAGGCAGAGATTTATCTTTTCTTTTCCTTTTGCATGGAGAAGGGTATGATAGCTGGGGGGAGTGTGATGGGTAGAAAATGTCTTAAGTGCTCATTAAGGTAAAAAGGTACCTTACCTTAAAGTAAATGTTCCAGCAGAATATTTGTCAGGTAGAGAACTTGTCTTATTCATTTTTATATTTCTAATCCCCAGAATAATGACAATTGATAACCTGCAGTAGCTGCTTAACTGTTGTTTGCCAATGAGATCACTTTGATTTGGATCTCTCAGGCTAAGTGGAAGGCAGGCTCAGCCCACAACCTCAGCTTCCTGAGACTTCTGTTCTTAGCACAGGTTTCTCTGCAAACCCATCTCTGGCCAGGGCTGGATCACATCTGTGAATCCAACTTTCATCTTCCTGGCCTGCAAGGCTCCCAAATGTCATGTGCGTTCTTGGATTTAGGGCCATACTTTAATTAGTATGTAATGTCTTAATGATGATGTCCTGGATGCCTGCTACTATTTCTATTATTATTCTATAATGCTGGGCAAACGATAAAAGATACAAAGTCCAACTTGAGCAAGAATTCCTTCCCACCAAGTTTGTAAAACTTTCTGCCACACATTTTTGGAGATTATCTTTTTTGACTTTAACATCTAGAAATGTATAATTTTAATTTCAAAATAATTTTAGAAGTTTCTAAGAAATCAGTAATTTTATCACCGATTCAGTAAGCCACTTTACAGTTAATCTTTTATTTTTTTATTGCACACATTTTACAGAAAAAAAATAACCCCTAATGTTAAACTGCAATTACATATATGTTGTCTTCTGACTCTTTCCAATGTAGAGACCTAAATTTTTACACAAATATAATCAATTAACATAATTTATGTTCTAATTAACATTTCTGGGTCTCACTGAACCATTTTTACATACAATTTTACACATATCAATATTGTTTAATGGTTATATAACAGTCTATGATAGCAATAACAATACACCAAAATTTACTTATCCATTTCCCAATTGTTGGGCTTTTTTCCCTTAAACTCATATGAATGGAATTGCTAGAAACATCTTTGTACAAATAACTTTTCTTTCCTTTAAATATTTTCCTAGGCGTATGCTACTCAAAGTTATCATGTCAAAAGATAATAGGTTATAGAGCTCTTTTTATAGTCTTCTAAATAGTTCTTTTAAAAGAGTACTAAAATACAATGCTATGAGGATGAGGACACAGACAATTTAAAGAATTCTGCTAATATAATAGCATGAATTAAGTCAAAATTGTTTCAATTTGTATTTTTAGTATTAGGAAATTTGAATGTTTCTAATAATTTATTTTTATTTGTATCTGCTTTGTACACTATCCCTTTATAAACCTGTGTAGGAAAGAGTAGAGAGCTTTATGGATACATATCCACTTTTTAAAAAGTATTAAGCACTTTATCCGTGTACAATACAAATAGCTTTTTAAAAATTCCATCATCTTTTGTCTTTTCTTATTTAACACACATTTTTCATTTTTCTCTTAGTTGTTCCACCTTGTCAATAGCTATGAAGTTCCTTTGTATCACTATTGGCATCATTATTTTATACTTAACATTTTAATTCATCTGGAATAAGTTGCAATACCATAGTAAAGTGGACCTAATATCTTTTTCCATACTGACAATCCAGCTACATTATTAAATAACTGCTGCTTTCCACCAACAGTTATTAAATCTTTTTCTTTCCAATTGGTTTATTAGTTTTAAACTTTCCACTCAGCACCACAGAATATTTAGAAAAGTTGCTTAACAGCATGTTTTAAGGAATTGAAGGGCAAGTCTCCATTTTTTCCTCTAAGTTGAAAAAAACATACATCTATCTTTGTTGGCTTACTTTCCTAAATAATTTATCACAATTATCTCAAATTACATAAAGCATCCAGATGGAATGCTAAATGGAATTGTAGTAAATCTGTTAATACATACTAATGTCACATGTTGGTGCTCCTTTGGCTGTGATTTCATATACGTTATCTAAGTTAATCCTCAAAATTACTCTGTGAAGTATTACTTCTATTCCATTGATGTGAAATGGAAGCTGGGAGTGATTTTCCCAAAACTATATCACTGGGAAGTAGTGAAGCAAGGACTGTAATTCTGGTTTTCAGAGGACTCCCCATTTACTACTTTTCCATTACACCTGGCTGACTCTCCCAGCAGTTTGCTGATTTTTAAAATTTAGTTCCTTAAACCTATTTCTATTTAGGCATCTTTCTTAATTTATCCCAATACAGTTGTGTAACTTTATTAATACCCGAACACTTCAAATTGCAGTTGGTCACTGTTATAATCCAGAGACAAAATTTTTAAAAATTGTATATCCTTATAACTTCCTGAATTAGTCTTTTATTGTTAGTACATTTAAGTGATACTATAGGTCTAGTCATAAAGCCACATTAATGGAAAACGTTTGTGCTTTATCTTCCTCATTTTGTGAATGCCCGTTTCTATTGCAATGACAAGTTTCTTCAACATAAATAAAAATGATGCCAACATTGTTTAGTTTTGCAGAAGACATGTTTCCTGTTTTCCCAATAGGAATAATATTACTTCTTGGTTTTAAATAATTATTCATCAGACTGCAAGAAACCTAGGAAATCATCACCAGAGGTAATTAAATCAAAGATGAAGGATGAATTTTTAAAAAGTTACCTGTAATTAATGTTTTGGATTTTTACTTTTGTTCTGTTGATGTTTAATGGTTGTTCTGTTGAATACCAGCCTCATAATCTTCAGTGACAGTAATCATTTTTATTTGTTGCTGTACTGTTTGCCAATATTTTGTTTTGCATTTTGCTCTGTGGGGACCCTTTTTAAAATGTTTGGTTTTTAGTACTGAGGCAATATTTGCCTCAAAATGCAATTAGAAGCATATTGTCTTTCATGATACATAGATATTACTTATTCTTTAAACATTTAAAAAAGTTCACCAATAAGCCCATTAGGGTCAAATTCCAACTTGTAAAAAAAATTATACAAGGTTACAATATCCCTAAATTTTTAAGTGCTTTTTATTGGTTGTAATCATTTCCCATTTTGCATTTAAGAAAATAATATTTTCATTTTCTTGGTTTTTAAACCAACACTTATTTTGGGCCAGCCTGTCACTTTTTTCCCTATTTCCACTACATGAAGCTAAACCACCGTTAGCTTCTTTCCTCAATGACTTATAAATATTGGTGATACTGGGAAGCCTTTCAGTAGATCTAGATTACCATCAACACTATTTTATTTATCATCTTAATTTCTTTTCATTTTAACATTTTATAGGTCTATTTCAGGCATTTCAGTTGTTTTGACAGAGTTAAACTAGGATCCTCCCACTTTACTATATTCAGAAAAGTCAATATTAATACCAATATACAACTTTTCTACTTTAAGCTGTCAATTACCTAAATCTGTCTTTTCTTTTTTTTCACTTTTAGAAGAGCAACAAAGACTACATTCAGAACATAGTTTGGCCTAGAAACATTTGTTTTTTTGTAATTCAATCTTCAGATCAACAGATGTTAATGAAGAGCATTATTTTGTTAAAACTCAGCCAAATTCTGCTTCAATGAGATCCATGCTCTAAAATATGTTTTTAATTAATTTTAATATTCACATTTCTCCAATTTGTTATCAAGCTGCAAGACCACTGTCTGCTCTTCTTCCCCAGCACTGCTAGACTGATTTTCACGGGCACTTTTCCCTTCTCCGACAGCGTCTATACTCTTCTAACAGTGAACATAAGAGGAAATATCAAGGGTTTTAGAATCATGAAAGCCTGGGTTCTAATGTTGGCTCTTCCACACAACAGACTCTGAGCAGATTATTAATAATTCTCTATTCCTTTTAGAAAGTGTGTATCTGTCTCACAAGATTGTTGAGAAACTGTAAAAAGAAAGCACAACATTAAGTGCACATAATAAATACTGTGTTACCGGGCAAAAGCCGTCATGAAGGGCTTCGTCATTCTCTGTCTGAAAATGGAAACAGAACTACAGGAAGAGGAAGTTCAGCTCTTCTGATGGCTCCACAGGTTTTCACCAGTGGAGTACAACCAGTTTTATGACTGCTGATGGTTCTGGGAGAAAAAATTTTTTACCTTCTAGATTAAAGAGCCAAGAGGTTCAGAAGTATTTGTTCTGGAGCAGGCTGGGTTTCAATAAAAACGATAGACAGCCAACAGGTGGAAGTGATTATGAAGGCTGTTACCTCAGTAGTTGTGGGCTGGGACACAACCAAAGGGACATAGTAAACCCCACTTTGATTCACTCCTATCAGTTGTAGTTAATGCCACTAACTACAGTGGTAGAGCCAACATATGTTTCGTCCTGAGAGACCTGGATAATCTATTCAGAAAGGGTTTTAAAACCATCTGTAATTCCAGGTTAAAAATTCCTCACTCAGTTTCTCCTTAGGAATTTCACAACAGTCATTCTGAAGTATCTTTGCCTGGGGCACTTTATTTTTCCTTTTGGCCTGAGTTACTTGTTGGAAGTTCTTTCCTTTTAGGTGAAGTATTAACAGAAAATAAATCTTACCCCTTAGACTTTCTTTGGCACAAAACTGCCCCAAATGAGATTTTTAACTACTAACTGAACTCCAACTCTTGTGGTAAAGTGCAAGATGGTGGAGGTGTCATTGCGTCATCGGTTACAAGGGTCATGTAGGTGAGTTAAACTGCGAAATGTATTATAAACATCAACTTTCACAAAGAATAAAGGATCGTGCAAAGCTAGTCTTTTAACAATCTTTTAATCTATAAATGTATTTTATTATATTGGCACTTGTATTAGTTGCTATTCCTACCACCATGACTACATGTTTATATTGTATACAGAAGACACACATAACTTACTATTTGTGTGTGTTTCACTATTCAGAGGTGGTAGCAATTCTAATAGTTGAAAAAGTAATATTCCTTAGATATTAATTATTCTGTAGACAATAATAAAATCTGAAGATAGTTAGCAGATACAGTATTATCTTCCTTTAAGCAAAGTTGCTAATATGGAATCCTCACATATATACCCAATACTAAAATAAAGCTAATTCTGTTTTAAGATTCTGGATCATGGAGTCCATTCTGAAACAAAGCGTCCAATAATCAATGAATCAGCTAACCGACAGGTTAACAAAGACATCCAATGCTGAATGGCTCAAAGAGAGTTAAAGACAACATCTGCATAGAATTCATCATACAACCACTTCTAATTAGTCATACGGGATACTGTCCTTTAAATGAGAATATTCAGATGCCAGGATGAAGGCCCAAAGTAGCATTTCCAGTTTGTTTTTTTCTAATTTTGAAGGTGCTTCTCTGGGCTGTCTTGGTTTTTGCTGTCCTCGGAGGATTCTAGCTTGGCCATTATTAGATTATTGGTTCCAGGAGTGTCTGATTGCTTATCATCACCTTCAAAGATAATGTCCTCTGGATTTGGAGGTGGGGGGCAGAACTCTTCGTTTGGAAAGATCTCCCGGAAAAGTGTTTCGGCTTGCTTAACTGCATGCTCGTTTCCCAGGCCACCATCAGGCCCAGAGCAGACATAAACATTGGAAGGTAAACCGTCATATGAGCTTCGGCTGATTCCTGAGGAATCTCTCATATTAAAATAAAGAGCCCACAAGACTCTTGGTTTTGTAAGTTCTTCCTTGTCTATTTCTGCTTCAGCATAGGGTGTGAATAATTTCTTCACCACTGATTCTAAGTCTTCTCTTGCTGTTTTAGAAGAGGAACATGTCAGATGTACCAGATAAGTGTCTTTCATGCATGTCATGGTTGAAGAACATAATTCTGTGACCCGAACGGCACAAGTTCCTGGTTCTGCTGGAGGCACTATCAAAATGGAAATCTGCTGATCTGAATCTGTTTTTAGCACAGACTGATCTGTAATGAGCACTGCCCTAGAGATCTGCTTATATTGCACATTTGAGCAGGTGTCCTCAGAAAGGTAACTATCCTCTACAATAAAATATTTAGCATTTATTCTTTGACCAAAGTGATCTATGATTGCTTTACATCTTCCAGATTCTTTGTCAACTACAAAACATTGTACTTTATGGCGAAGACAATAAATTCCACCAAAAACTGCACACATCCTGCAGAAACACTGGGGAATTTCTCCTTGGCCATATAAAGGAAATAAAAAGGGAGTGTTACCAAACCGTCCAAGACACTGAAGGAAGTTTTTTGTTGCTTTAAGGCCATCAACTGTAGTGCAAGATGATTCTGATGTCATTGCAATTGAGTGCAGTACAAAATGCTGGAGGTTAGGAGTTAATTTTTTAGTTTTTAAGTACTCTGAAAATGAACATTGCTTGAAAGCTTCATATTCATCAGGATGGTGTTCATAGTCTAAACAAAATGTGAGAAATTTCATTAGCATCCTCTTTTCTACCATTGTGAGTTCCTTGCTATTAAAGACGTCTGCTCTGGAACAAGGCACCTGTTCTACCTTTCCTTCCCGAAATGCAAGAATCCTAGTGACATTTTTAAACTCTGCATAACGACTAACATTTGATTTGATTAAAAGATCAATTAGCAATCCTTGAGAATATAGCAGCTTTGATACCAAATCAATGTTAAACCTCCGGCCTTCTTTAACTATTTGAGAGTAAGTAATCCTATTTTTCTTTGGCTGATCAGTGTTATCTTCTACTATAGGTTTGTTTACATCTTTATCTTCCTCTGAAATAGTATGTATACAACTTTTAGCTCCGCAGTCCTTTCCTTCCTCCAGCGATTCCTCTACATCAGTTACTTCTAGTGCAATCTCTTCATCACTTTTCTGAGGGTGCTTGGCAGGCATTTCGAGGCCAGTAAAATATGATGAGTGCTTTTCTTCAGGTAAGGATGCAGAATCCAGAAATTCAGTGAAGGTACTAGATGCCACTGAGGAAGGACTTTTCTGCAGAGCACCAATCTCTTCAACATTGTCCTCCACATCCTGACTGGCATAACAAAAAACTTCTGTGTGTTGAATGGTTTCATCCTTCTTGCGAAGAGGGATGGCTTCTTCTGTTTCGTGGATCAGTTCTTGCCACGCAGCAGTACTTTCTTCCCCAACATCACTGTTTTGCTGATACTCCTTCAACCAGGATAGCAATCCTGAAAAGCTGAAACTAGCCCAGTTTCCTCCATAGTAACTTCTTGAGTCAATATGCAGAACCCTCTGACCACTTCTTGAACATGCAGCTGCAAGGATGGATTCAGGCAAACCTGTCCCTATTATAACCACATCAAACTCTGTGGGTAGACTGTCCGCCATCCTACGACGTAAAGCGTCTGGTGACGACTGCCGATGAAGGAAATGCGTATGAGTCTAAGCTGAGGACTCAGCTGAGGTATGATTATGGTGTAATAGAATTTCTCCTTGTGATCTTCCAGTTCGTCCCAGAAACACTGAGGTTGCAGGTCCTAGCTGCTTAACTGTGACCCTTTTAAAATATTTTTTCCTTATAAGTCAGTGGCATAAAAACATGAGAAAGTACATCTAATCACATCTGAGAATACTAAAACGGATGTGTGGTTTCATTTCTGCATTTCATCTTAGCAGTAAATGTCAAAATGCATCATATATGCATTTGTGACTGGAACTCTTCTCTGAAAGAAGAAAATTCAAGAAAGAATACAACTGTAAACAATATAAAAGTAATTTCATTCAACAGCAATTACAATCCACTGGATCCCAATTTGTTATCTGGATATAAACCTCTACTAAAACAAATCATTAAATGCTTTCTCACATATTTTCTAATTTCTTGAAAATGAATAATAGAGATATAATCCCCCCCAAAAAATCAAGGAATACAGTAATAAAGGATTGACAAAATGATGCCCCACAAAAATAAAAATTAACATAATACCATTCTCTAACTTTTTAAGTAAATTGATATTTGAATAAAACTATATACACCTGTAAGCTTAGACTAAAAGAAATGTGTTGCTCCGCTGTGTTTATGGAAACAGACTATATACTATGTGCATACTGCCATGATTAGAAATATCCCTGCAGCCAATACAGTCTTTCGGTGATTCCAGAACAGCCAAATAGAAGAACTTTCCACGCCCCAACCACACTTCAGACCTCATGGTAGCAACATGAGACTATTTCTACTGAGTTAACCAGTCAGATTATTACAAAAGGATTAATTCAGTAAAACAACTAGCATTTAAAAATATTTAGGTACATAAAAGAATAGGCCCACCGAGGAGAAAAATCTAATTATAAAAAATCTTTATATGAATGTACTTTATAAGTACATTGTGTATTTTATCATACGTATAGAGTGTTTTACAAGAATAAGTTAAAAAGGAAAATTCTTGGTTTCATGTTAACATATCTTAACATAAAAAACATCTAACATTTGAATAGGATAATGTTTGCATTTTGCCAGACCGTATCTGCAACCTCGAGTCTCTGTATCCCAAGAAAAAGGTCTGTTTAAACATCCTCTGCCAAGACAAACACGCTGTTTGTTGTTATTATTTCAGCACAATGCTGGTTATATTCCATATGCAGAACATCTGTGTGATGCCAGATGTAGCTAGAGGTGGCACAGCCAAGGGGCTGAAGGGCATACTCACCTGGAAGTCTTTAGGCCAAAGTACTGCACATACCATATAGCTAAACTTTCTATCTTTCATCATTGCATAGGAAAAGTAAGAGTTCTTTGGGTTCTGATTTTCACTACTGTTAAGTCTACTGAAATCTAATCAGTACAAACTGGACCTGATTAGGCCAAGATGACTAATTATCTTGGATATCTGTAAAACAAGCCATTCAGTTGGAACTTAGATTAAATTGTGCAGGTCACTGACCTGATTGCCATTCATAAACTGAAATGGCAATCCTAATAGTCCTATACAGTCAAAGCCTCTGCCTCAAGAATATCAGGGATTCCACTCATTTTCAGTATTCCCTGAGAAGCCAGGAACTGAAGACAGAATGAATCAGTTGCCTGGCCTACTCACGTATAAATATAAGTATGTCTGAATTACTTATTCTGCCTTCTTCCAGCAGGGTGTGAAGAGGGAGACAGAACCTATGATGGTATTTGGAGAGGTATAACCATAGTGCACACTTATTCTTGGCATAGAGGGGGATAGAGTTAAGGGTGGAAATAAGAGCTGAGGACACAGGCTCCAAGTGCTAAGCTCAGGCACACTCTCATCTACAGATAACAAAGGGGTCATCAGAATACAAAGCAAGTAGCATAACCTTAAAGAACATTAAGTTTAAATACTCAATAACAGAGATGAGAAAATTGATGGCTGGAAAGATTACACAACTTGGGGAAGCCACACAATGCATTAGCCACAAGATCAAGAGCAGGACCTACTCTCGTGCCATCAGGCCAATGGTCTTTCCACTAGATAGAGCAGCCTCCCCAAAGCCTCAGGAACAAGCAGCTACTTCTAGCATTTTTTAATTTCCTCCCTGTTTAATGCTCCACAATTGGTTATTTGCTTGATCATTGCTCCATTGCTTCAGAGAATGCGATAACAACAAGGAAGCACTCTCCCTTTTTAACCCTAATCTAGAAGCAGAAACCCTGGAATTTACTCCAGGCAAAGAAATTCTTATCTTCGCTAAGAACTTTTTAAGCTCCATGGTAACACTATTGACTTGTCCTCAAGGTTTGTTAAACAAGTCTCTGAACCTCTTAGCCCACAGTTTCAACCTCTAATTTAAAAACAGGGATAAAGTCATGGTTGAAAGCACTAACTAAATGCCTTGAGATAAAATACTCTGTGAATTTTGAAAATTACTTCTGATAGGGATGGGACAGCAGGAGGGATAGTGAAGGACAGAAAAAAGAAGGAAGAGACTAGGAGACCCAAGAGGGTGGGGTCAGCAGGAAGAGGTGAGGAACAGGATGGGTACTAGTACTTATAAACAACTCAATATATTCTTGTTTTCAAACTCCCAGGCACAGAAATAGAATTTTCTAGCACATAAAAGGCACTTCGTGAAAATAAGAACTTTAATATCTGTGAACAAACACTTGTTGCCCACCCTAGGGAGCATTATTGATGATACTTTAGGCTTGGGCTTGAATCAACTTCTTTAAAGCTTACCCTGCCTAAGAAATTGCCTGCTACGTATTTTTAATTAATATAGAGTGTAATCCCATAGCCATATATATCACGCCCTACATACACTTATAGTTCCCTCCCCAAGTTTCAAATCTTCGTACAAATGACATTTTCAGATCAATGCTTATTGGGGGGTAGGAAGAATATTATAATCATTAGGCAATCAAATAAATGAAATGATTTCTATGACATTTTCTTATTTCCTCCAAAATATCAAAAAGTGAATCATTACAAACATTGTAACATTTGGGTCTGTCATAGCATACTGCTGAATAAGAAAATATTTTTCATAATGTTACAAATATTTGTTCTCCAAAAACTACTGAACTAAAAGCAATAATAAAGTACCAATGGATTTCAGCATTGAAAAAAGGAAATTTAAAACCTAAGACATGCACATCTCTATTTCAAGTCATGGTACAAACGAAATTCCCAGAGCTCACAAAAACATTTATTTCCCAGGCTGAGAAAAAAAAAAATCACATCTTCAGTGATATGCTGGGCTGTTGATCATCCTTCAAAATGTCAAGTCTCATTATAGACTTAAATCTTCCATAATGATTAGGAGTACTGTACAAATAAATCTTCAATGAATATGCAAGTTCTACTTCAATGAAATCTACTGGCCGCACAGCTAATTATTTGTTCACCTGAGACAGGATTCTCTGAGCCATTTGTAATCTCACCTTAGATTTTGGTGTGATCGAATCTATAAGAAAAACATGGTAAAAACAGCTTATAGGGAACAGACCAATTTGCATTCTGAGGACCTGAATGACACCACCTCACTCTCCCTAGAAAGCATTCAAAGGTTCACAACTGCTAATGAGAAAGAAAAAAATAAATGACACCTTGCTATTTTAGGTCTTTACCTCTCATTTTAGGAAACAAATAATAATAGTATATAAATCAAATCTCATCACCCCCCTCTAACTTTCACGAGTTAATCACTTTTTCTTCTTGAATCTCTTGACTCTACAGGCCCTCGTCTCTGTCCCCAAAGTCTACGAGCCACTGTGCCGTGCCCTGCTGAATTACATCAGGAGGTGAAAACAGAGAAATGAGATGGAAGGGGACGAGCTTGCCAGGGGCTTGCGGAGTTAAGGAGGGGCTGGCGTCTAAGGGGACCTGGGGATGAAGACGGGCAGGGGTTCGGGGTCAGGCTGGGGAGGGATGAAGGAGCACAGGACCCGAGCCGCGGCCGGCGTGGGGTGAAGGAGGTGAAGGAAGTGAGAAGGCATGCCACGCAGCTGGGTCGAGGAGGGTGAGGGGGCCGGGGTGAGCCGAGGCCGGGCCGGAGGGAGGTGGCGGGACAGCGGGGAGCGGAGGCCGAGCGGGCAGCGGAGGCCGAGCGGAGGCCGGGCGGCTGGGCGGCAGGCGGACGCGCGAGGGGCGGCAAGGCGGGGAGTGGGAAGTTTGCCGAGGAGGGGAGGACGCTTTCTCCTCCCAGCCCAACTCACCGAAAAGGCTGCTGCTAAACCCGTCCCACACGCAGCCCACGGTGTCCCACACCCAGCCGTTCCTCAGGCAGGACACGAAGGTAAACGTGACCCCGAAGAGGGACACCAGCAGGTCGCTGAGGCTGATGTTGACCAGGAGGAGGTGGGTGGGGGTGCGGAGCCGCGGGAACTTGTAGTAGAGGACGAGCACCAGCAGGTTGTTGCCGACGCCCAGCAGCCCGATGGAGCCGAGCAGCAGCGCCAGGCGCTCGTAGGTGCCCGGGCTGAACAGCGGCGCCGGGCTCAGCGTCCCCGCCGGCGCCGGCCCCTCAGCGCCCGCGGCCCCGCCGCCCTCCCAGAACCCCTGGCCGCCGCTGCGGTTCCCCGAGTACATGGCCCGGCGCCGGCGCGCTCGGCGGGCGGACGCGCTCAGCGTGCGGCGCGGCTCGCGGCGCGCTCCGCACTGGGTGGGGCTCCGGCCCCGCGGCCCGCTCTGGCCATTGTGCACCCGGGGCCGCGCGCCGCCGCCGCCCGCCGGCTCCGCCCTTCCGCTCGCGCGCCGCGCAGCCGCTCCCCGCGGGCGTGTCCCCGCCGCAGCCCGGCCCCCAGCGCGCCCCGTAGCCACGCCCCCACCGCGGGCGCGCGCCCGTGCCTTCGCTTCCTTGTCCCTGCCCTCCGGACCCCTCCGCGGGCCGCCGTGGGCGCGCACTCGGGCGCAAGTCGAGAGCAATGGCTCCTCACACTCCGTTTACCCTCGCCCAGCTTGAAAGCAGCGAGCCTTCACCCATTCACTCACTGTGACTCATGCATTCGTTCATTCATAAATATTTCCGCGCGCCTGCGCCGGCCACACGCTGAGGAGAGATTTGGGTGGATGAAGGTCTCCACCCTAGGCCGCCCCTCCTCCCTGTAAGCTGTAACAACCCACCACCAGCCTACAGAGCCTTCCCTGCCTCATATACTTAATGGAACCAGAAGAAAACAAAACACTGAAAAGCTGGGGGTAGTCTTGCAAACAGGAA